CTCATATACCAAACTTTGGGGGTTATATTAGGAATGCCTTGTACAGATCTGATTGATACCGGTATGAAATGTTTAATGAATAAAATACAGCCAATGCATTTCGGGGAAAGCAATTTCCTCTTCTTAGGGGCTTACATGTATCATTTGTAATTAAATACAAAATGAATAAAAAATACCTTTCTCTCCCGTTCATTGAAGGACACAGGGAACAGATCGGAGATCATGTACTGTAGGGTAATATCGCCACCTGCAGGAGAAGGATGCTAGGCACAAAAAAACTAAAGACCAATTACAGCCTAGGGGCGGCCCCTGCCGGTGGCCAAACCCCCCACCTGCTGACAAGTCTCCAGTTTTTTGCCTAGCGTCAGGAGTAAGGAGCTAAGAATTTTTTCTCGGTATTCTTACCTGCTTCTTCCTGGTTTTTTTCAGAAGATTCTTCTAGCAAGTGTTGTCCGGGCGACAGGCTGGATGTCTCGGATCCTTGGAGTCTCCCCTGGGTGACCAGCGAGCGTATGCAGGCCCGCTGCGGTGGGTCGGCTACGACGGCCCCGCTCTAGCGGGGTGGCCCGTGGGTTCGTCCCAGGGGGGTGCATATGACTGGGGGTCTCGGCCGCCCAGTCACAGTGCTTCCCTCAGGCTGCTGGCGCCGCGGCTGCGGTCGGGGGCGCCAGGTTTCCGCAAGCACCTGTGGGATTCTTTGATGTCCCCTGCGCTGCTTTCGGCATGGAGGGGGGTGCCTGGTCGGCGGATGGTCGCATCCTCCTGGGGTATGTATGGGATGGGGGTCCGCTGGCGCATGCCTGGATCCTTTGGCTCCTGTCCCCCCTTCCCCCTCCTCCCCCTCGGTCACCTTCTCCCTGGCGCCTGCCGCTCCGTCCAGATCTTCTATCTCAGGGTCCGGTGTTCCATCCGTCTTTACCGTCGTTGGCTTTGACGGCGTGGCTGTTGAGAGCCAGGTGTTGAGGGACCGTGGTCTCTCTGATGCGGTTATCTCTACGAGATAAAGCCTGTGTCACGACGGATTTACCATCGAACGTGGAAGGCTTATTTTGCCTGGTGTGAGTCGGTGGGATTTCCGCCTCGTTTGTTTTCCGTTGCCAGGATCCTCGCCTTTTTACAGCGGGGTGTGGATCAGGGTTTGGCCTTGAGTACGATCAAGGGCCAAATTTCGGCCTTGGCTGTTCTTTTTCAGCGGCCGATAGCTTCCTACGCTCGCACTTTTGTGCAGGGGGTCACACGTATCGTTCCCCCTGTTCGCTCCCCGTTGCCGCCGTGGGATTTAAATCTGGTGCTCTCAGTATTGCAGGAATCTCCCTTTGAGCCTCTGCGGGACATTCTGATTCTGACTCTCTCTCAAAAAGTGGCCTTTTTGGTGGCGGTCACCTCGATCCGCAGGGTTTCGGAATTGGCGGCTCTCTCTTGCTCGTCCCCGTTGCTGGTCCTGCATCGGGACAAGGTAGTTCTGCGGCCTCGGCCGTCTTTCTTGCCAAAGGTAGTTTCGGCTTTCCATCTCAATGAGGACATTGTCCTGCCTTCCTTGTGTCCGAAGCCTGTCCACAGGAAGGAGAGGGCACTGCACTGTCTGGACGTGGTCCGCGCCATCCGGGTTTACCTAAGTGCTACGGCTGCGTTTCGGGAATCGGATTCCCTGTTTGTCGTTGCAGATGGCCCCCGGAAGGGCAGGGCTGCCTCGTCGGCTACCATCTCTCGATGGATTCGCGACACAGTATCTCAGGCGTATGCTATTAAGGGGCGTGAGCCTCCTTTTTCTGTTACGGCCCATTCTACAAGGGCTGTTGGGGCATCTTGGGCTTTCCGTCATGGTGCCTCCGTTTCTCAGGTTTGTAAGGCCGCAACTTGGTCTTCTGTTCACACCTTTGCCAAGTTTTATAAGGTGGATGTTTTGGCATCTGCGGATGCTGGTTTGGGGCGCAAAGTGTTGCAGGCGGCCGTTTGAGGGGATTTTTTTGTTTAGTTGGGTTTGTTGTTTCTGTTGGCCCACCCCTCTTTTTTGGTACTGCTCTGTGACGTCCCTACAGTACATGATCTCCGATCTGTTCCCTGTGTCCTTCAATGAACGGGAGAGAAAATAGGATTTTGGTACTCACCGTAAAATCCTTTTCTCTCCGTTCATTGAAGGACACAGGGCCCGCCCCTCTATGTGGGTGTGTACTCCTTTACTGCTTGTTACTAAACTGGAGACTTGTCAGCAGGTGGGGGGTTTGGCCACCGGCAGGGGCCGCCCCTAGGCTGTAATTGGTCTTTAGTTTTTTTGTGCCTAGCTTCCTTCTCCTGCAGGTGGCGATATTACCCTACAGTACATGATCTCCGATCTGTTCCCTGTGTCCTTCAATGAACGGAGAGAAAAGGATTTTACGGTGAGTACCAAAATCCTATTATTTTGAGGCGTCAGCGTATGCACGTGGAAATGTTAAAAAAAGTAACCGGGTGTTTTCTTTTCCATGTGGACACGCTCAGCATTTTCTGCCCTCAAACTAGGAATTTTAACTCCTTGGTGCCGCATAAAACCCACATATGTGTCAGCATGGTGGGTGGGCCCCAACGCCATCGCTACGCATATGTGTCAGCATGGTGGGTGGGCCCCAACGCCATCGCTACGCATATGTGTCAGCATGGTGGGTGGGCTCCGACACCGGCTCTACGCATATGTGTCAGCATGGTGGGTGGGCTCCGACGCCGGCTCTACGCATATGTGTCAGCATGGTGGGTGGGCTCCGACGCCGGCTCTACGCATATGTGTCAGCATGGTGGGTGGGCTCCGACGCCGGCTCTACGCATATGTGTCAGCATGGTGGGTGGGCCCCAAAGTCAGCTCTACGTATATATGCGTCAGCGTGGTGGGTGAGCCCCAAAGTCAGCTCTACGCAATATATGCATCAGCCGGCCCACTGCCCTGAGAGTGCGCTCACTAGCATGCTCCCAGTACACTGAACGAGCTGTCGCCAACAGCTTGCAGTCACTACTTATGATTGGGAGTCAGGGGGACAAGATGCAGGTCATGTGACAGCCAGTGATCACATGATAAGGATGCCTGCCTCTGATTCCTGGGTTTAGATCTTCTTAAAGAGCTGGGAGATGGCGGCAAAGGGGTTCAATGAATATCATCGAGATTTAATTACCAATCATACGTTTACGCCCCTTCTCCCAAAACGCGTTTGGCGTATTGGCTTTCTTCCTCCCTCTCTTCCTCTTCTCTTTTTTTTTTTTTTCCCGTCTCACGTCTTCTTTCTCACTCTTCTTCCCTCTCAGGGATATGTGTTTGAAGATGACAACCCCTTCTCCGAAGTGGATCAGCCATTTGAAGAAGGTCTGAAACGCCTTCGGGAGGGGGACCTCCCCAGTGCCGTCAGGTGCTTCGAGACTGCGGTGCAGAGAGATCCCAAACACATGGAGGTGGGAGGAGGAAAGACTCTTCTGGAACAACGTTTAGTGTTGGGGAGGGGGGGTTGAAGCATTCGGAAAACTGTGCCGTGGTCCCTCCCGCTGCGCTCAGTGGTTTTATCTGCCAGTCCCATAATCGCATGTGTCCTGTAGTGACATAGGAGCTGGCGGGAGGATCCTTTTGAGTCCAGCGATCCAACACCTATGGAAGTTTCAGATTCTGAAGATTGTTTAGTGGTGGGAGAGGTAAGTATGAACTATCTTCTCTGGAGGGGGCACTTTCTTGTCACTTTAAAGAGACCCTGTCCCCAAACCATTAACAAGAATCTTCCTTATGAGCATGTAGCATATTTTATACATCTTATTTACCAGTAAATATCTCCTTTTGTGAAGACATCCAGATGCCCCAAGACTGCTGCTGGGTGCCGCCATCTTGGATGTGATGTCAGCAGCCCCAGTAGATTCAGAGTTGTCACTAGTGACATTCTATAGCAAGACGAGGCAACCTCGGCCCTCCAGCTGTGGTGAAACTACAAGTCCCATGAGGCTTTGCAAGACTCTCCCAGCCACAGGTATGACTCCCAGAGTTAGATGCATGATGAGATATGTCATTTTCACCACAGCTGGAGGGCCAACAATAGTTTGATATAATAATAATAATAAGGTTTTGGGAAGGTGAATACTTCAATATGATGACGGGTGTCTGATATACCAGAATAGGAATGTAACCCCTTTCCCTGCTCTTCCCCCGCTAGGCCTGGCAGTATTTGGGCACCTCCCAGGCAGAAAATGAACAGGAACTGGCCGCGATCAGTGCTCTGCGCAGGTGAGGTCGCTTTCTATTACGGGGTTCCCCCTCAGCAGTCTCTTGCTATGGCAGCTCACCGTGTCCGTTTCTGTCTAAGGTGCCTCGACTTGAAGCCGGACAATCTGAACGTGTTGATGGCTCTGGCGGTGAGTTTCACCAACGAATGCCTCCAGCAGCAGGCCTGCGAAACGCTGCGGGAATGGATCAAACACAACCCAAAATACGGTCACCTCATAAAAGAGGAGAACCCTGGGAGTGAGGCGAGAAACCGATCGCTGGGCACACTGCTGTCAGAGTGAGTGTATACCGCCGGTCATTAAAGGGTCAGTAGACCCAAAACTTTTATTGTTGGTCTTTTGGGGACTCGTATTGTCCTCCATCCATGACCACTACAAGGACCTTCTGGGCAATCATTGTACTGCTTTTGCTAATTGGGGATCACCAGATGTTTCAGAAAAATGGCCTCCATCATAGAGGATGGCAGAGCCCAGCTTTATGGGTGAAATGCATCAATGGAGGAGATCCTAGAAGGGGGGCTGTTATGTGATAACATGAACATACGTCAATGAAGGCGTATCGATCACAATTTTGGAGGGCCGTGACCTTTTGCATTGAGTGGCGCCATCCGTTTGCCATCGCAGCACTCACCAATCCATAGGGACTTATTGGTCAGGAGTGCGATGGGCTTTGGATACCGCCTAGAAGGGGGGGACTATTTGATTGTCTGGAACAATAAAGTTGCCAGCGTTTGAACCTTCCTGGGGTGTCGCTGTCCAATCTGTTACAATACTGAAACTTAGCGGAGCGTTTCGTTCTTTCAGTTCGATGTTTTCGGAGGTCCGGGAGCTGTTCCTGTCAGCCGTACGCATGGAACCGACACAAGTTGACCCTGATGTGCAGTGCGGTCTCGGAGTGCTGTTTAATCTGAGCGGAGAGTATCAGAAAGCCGTGGATTGCTTCACTGCCGCCCTGAGCCAAAAACCAGATGTGAGTGCGGTATTGGAGGGGGGATTTCTAAAGCTCCCGTCTGTTCTCGATCATACTGTGTGTCTCATGAGAATTCCCAGCGGTGTGCGACTTTCTTTCCTCTGATGTTACTGTGCTTTCCTCTGTAGGACTATCTCCTCTGGAATAAGCTGGGCGCCACCCTGGCCAATGGTAGCGACAGTGAGGCCGCCGTGGAGGCTTACAGAAGGGCGCTTCAGCTGCAACCTGGGTTTATACGCTCCCGATACAACCTGGGCATCGCCTGCATTAATCTAGGAGCCCACAGGTGAGAGGCGGCTTCATGGAGATTAAAGTGACAGACCTGATACTTCATTTAAAGCAGGAGTAGCCAAACTCCAGCCCTCCAGATGTGGTGCAACTACAACTCCCATGAGGCATTGCAAGACTGAGCCACAGGCATGACTTCCAGAGGCATGATGGGATTTGAAGGTTCACCACAGCTGGGGGGCTGGAGTTTGCCTCCCCCTGATATAAAGCAAGGAATAGGTTCTCTTTATGGCCCACTTCCTTTGCTACAAATACTTGCCTTCCTCATGCTTGCCTGATGCACCCCGAGCAGAATGTGCAGTATAAGTGCCATGTTGGTACTTACCCCCAACGTGAGTAGCCAACCACAAGGCTCAAGCAATGCGGCACAGCACTTGGGCCTTGTGGTTGGCTACTCAAGCTTTGCGCAATCTAGTGGACGGAAGGTGAAAGGGTCACATGCTCCCCACCCCAGTCCAGATTGGCTCAGCTGTGATGTGCTAAGGAGGCGTGGCCAAACACAGCTCCTAATTCTTCAATGCATACCTGACAGATGCATGTAGACCAGGAGTAGGCAACCTCACCACTCCAGATGTGGTGGAACTACAAGTCCCATGAGGCATTGCAAGTCTCTGCCGACCACGGCATTTCTCACATAGGCACGATGGGGTTTGGAGTGCTGACGTTGGCCACCCCTGATGTAGTCTTTATTGTCACAGGACGGGTGGGGGTTTTAACCACCTTCCGTCCATGGCCGTTTGTGAACGGCCGGACGGAAGTCTGCTCAGAGCGGGTGGGCGTCTTAAGACGTCCTGCCCCTCCCCCCCTCTTGTGCGTGCGCTGTGCGCACGCCAACGCTCTAACAGGAGATCATTACTTGATCATCCTTTGATCTCTCTTCCTGTCCCCGAATGCAGGAAGTGATGTATATTACATCACTTCCTGCATTCAGTGTCACTCTCCGGTGCAGAACACCGGAGAGAAGCTGATGGAGCAGATCTCTGCTTCATCAGCTTCTCTGGGGGTCCCTAGGTGACATCAGAGGTCTTGGAGACCCCTGATGTCTCCATAAAGAGGACCTGTTTGGTGAACTGGCTATTACATAGGGGATTCCTTAGTCCCCTATGTTATAGCAATAAAGTTAAGTAAAAAAAAAAAAAATTTCAGCATTAAAAAAAATAAAGAAGCTAAAAAAAATAAAGAAGCTAAAAAAAATAAAAAAAAATAACACAAACATTTTTTTAAAGTCCCCCGCCCCCCAGATACACACGCAAACATGCGTCGGGTGCGCCTATGTACGAAACCGACGATTGCGCCCATTATGCAGCACATGTTACATATCGCCGCGAACGTCGCAGTGAGAACAATAATTCTAGGGCCATCAATCACTGATAACACTAAACTGATGAGCGGTAAAAGCGTTTAAAGCGTCGCCTATGGCCAATTTTGGCTGCGGCCGTTTTCTGCGATTTCGCGGGCGTGCGCAATTTTAAAGGTTGACATGTTTAGTGTCTATTTACCCGACGTGACCCCGTCTTTTATATTGTACCAAAAAATTGGGGTAAAAATAAATGTTTAATAACATTTTATAGGGAAACATGTTTTTTTTTTTTAATTTGTTACTTTTTTTGTTATATAGTAAAAAATAAAAACCCCATTGGTGAATAAAAGCCAACAAAAGAAAGCTCTATCTGTCCCCAAAAAATGGTATGAAAATCGTTTCAGTAAAGTGTTGCATGACAGAATAAACATCAGTCAAAGTACCGCAGCACTGAATACTGAAAAATGGCCTGGCCAGGAAGGGGGTGAAACACTATGGCCTTTAAGTGGTTAAATAGGGATGCACTGATACTGGTATCGGTATTGGTGCCGATATAGAGTATTTGGGCAAGTACTCGTACTCATCCAAATGCTCCGATACTTCCGGTATCGGGAAGCTGGGCAGCGTGTCATGACATGCCCCCGGCTTTCTGATTGGCCAGAAAGCCTGCTTCATGCTCCCTCGTCACCTGATGACGAGGGACCATGGAGCCAGCTTCTCGACCAATCAGGGAGCCGGGCAACGCATCATTACACGGCACCAGGTGAGGAGGGAGCATGGAGATGGCTTCCCTGCTATTCTGGAAGCCAGGTGGCGAGTCATTACACACCACCCGGCTCCCTTAATGGGACTTCCGGTATCGGCGAGTACCGGGAAAAAAAATATCGGTACTCGATACCGAAAAACCAGTATCGGCGCATCCCTACTTTGAAACGTACGTTCTATGGCCTGTATACCTCCAAACGGTGCCCAGTGGAGCTTTGCTTTAAATGTATCTCATTGATGCAGGGAGGCGGTGGAACATTTCATAGAAGCCCTCAGCATGCAGCAACAGAGTGGAGGCCCCGACGGATCCATGTCCGACAATATCTGGAGCACCCTGCGGATGGCGCTCTCCATGTTGGGGCAGAGTAACCTCTACAACGCGGCGGACGCCCGTGATCTTGCCACGCTACAGGCCGCCTTCCCTCCTCACTCCAGCCTTGGCCAATGACCACGACCTGACCTGTGGCCATGCGAGTGCATGCTGGGGGGACTCCCACGCTGCACCGGCAAGACGGCGCCGGAAGAATGCTCTAGGCGGGTCTCTCGAACTATTGCAGGAAGCAGCCCCGGGCCCTGCGCAAAGCCATAATGTTTCTGTCCGTGGTGATTGATCTGAGCAGACTTGACCTTTCACTCCATTGGCTGGTACCGGAATGAAGGAACAAACTCAATAGGACTCCTAATTAGCTGATTAATCTTATTTAATTACCTTGTGTGTACCGAGCCGGAATTTATTGTTGTTGTCTGCGACGTCAATGTGGAGATCCATCACCCCCTACTAGCAACGTGCGCTCATCTTCTGTGTATACGATGTATAGCATTGCTCCACCTAGTGGACAAAGGCAAGCTTAAAGCAGAACTCCAGCCAGATACTTAAACACGGCATAGAAATATGTACATAGGGGTCGTACCTGTTCCCATAGTTGTAACTCTACTCAGCTGGTCCTTTGATTTACAGAGCCAGACGTTATATCCTGCTGCAGATCACTGAACTACCAAAGCGCACCAATCAGAGCCTCTCTGCTTCCCTACTCTTAATTGGTACCTGAAACATGGCAGCATTGGGCCTGATTGGCTCACATTTGAAAAGCTCCCATTAGGTCTGATTTCTGGTGTGTAGGGAATTGGGGGAAAGATAATTTTATTGTCTGCACTCTGTATATTGACATTCACCAGCATTGCCCCCCTGACTTGAGGTGCCCATATGTCTCACGATTATCATACGATAATCACTGGTGATCCCGCGATCGTACGATTATGGGCAGTTTGCGACCGATTTTACTGTACGTACAGGCGGGTTGGTAGCGTGCTCGCAAGACCAAAGTCACACGGGCCGGTGTGCGCAAGCGCACACTGTCCGCTCAGCATTGCAATCATCTGCAAGCCCTCCTCTCAGCGGGGCGGGCTTGCGATGATCTGCCTGTCCAAGATGGGCCGGTCGTATGAAATTTTAATCACCTTACAACCATCGCACAACAAAGGTCGTGTGAAGGTTGTAAGGTGTTTGGTCAGCTTTCGAGAGAAGGTTCCTAATCCTGGTTGCTCACTTCCGCACTCACAATCCTGAACCAATCAGAGTGGCTTTCCACTAGGGATGCACCGATGCTAGTATCAGTGCCGATGCCGAGTATTTGGGCGAGTACTTATACTCACCCAAATGTTCAGGTGCCTAGCCCGATACTTCCGGTATCAGGGCAGTGCGTCGTTGCACGCAGCCCAGCTTCCTGATTGGCCGGGAAGCCGCATCCATGCTCCCCCCCCCCCCAACTTGTGAGGAGAGAGCATGGAGCCGGCTTCCCAATTAGGAAGTCGGGCAGCGTCTAATGACATGCTTCCTGATTGGTCGGGAAGCTGGCCCATCAGGAAGCCAGGCGGTGTGTAATGACGTGGCCAGGCGGCTTTCTGACTGGCCTGGGAAGCCGGCTTCATGCTCCCTCGTCACCTCATGACGAGGGAGCATGGAGGCGGCTTCCCACCCAATCAGGAAGCTGGGCACCCCGTCATTACATGCCGCCCTGCTTCCTGATTGGCCAGAAAGCTGTCTCCATGCTTTCTTGTCACCTCGTGACAAGAAGCATGGGGACGGCTTCCCTGGTAATTGGGAAACCGGGTGGCTAGTCTTTACATGCCGCCTGGCTTCCTTAATGGTACTTCCGGTATCGGTGACTACCGGAAGAAAAATCGGTACTCGATAACGAAATACCTGTATCGGGGCATCCCTAGTTTCCACACATGTTCTGTGCCATATATGACATAATGGTCACATGCAGGCTGAAGGCTTCAATAATGAAATAAGTCTTCAGCCTGCACATACCACTGTAGCCTGAAGGTGGCAGCGTTCATCTCTTTATTACTGCAGTTGTCTGATACAATGACCGTATTAAAAAAAAAAGAAAAAATCAGCCTAAAATAATTTTTCTTTTTTAATAAAATATCCTACAAAAAAAAGATTCAGGTATGTGCAAATCAGTAATTTAGATATAATTATTAAGTTAATCGACACATGTGACGCTGCTAGATTTGGACATCAATGAGAATGAGATATCAATGAGCTTTGGTCATGAAAGGGCTAAAGGGGGAGGGGAGGTTTATATTTGCTTGGAGTTCTGCTTTAAAGGACTATTCTGACTTATAACTATAACCATCGTCTGGTAGCGTCGTACTGCGGCCAATCAAAAAGGCCGCCATTAGTGTTAGGTAGTCGGTGTGTAATCGTTGTCTTGTCATCTATACTGTTACAGACTGAAGGACTGCAGAGGGGGTCAACCTGGGGCCAGTTAGAGAGGAAGTGACTGTGATGAGTCTGATTGTTACCTGGGGCCCGGTCTGCACATGGCTCCCGATGCCGCCAGGCCCTGGGGTACTTTGATAATAAGCTACATTTGACTCTTCCTTAGGCTCAGTCTGCACGAGATTTATACTGAACAGAAGAGGAAAGAGATGGTACGTAGCTTTACCCCAAATGTATGTGGTGCTCATGCTTCTAGTCCATACAGTGTTTTAATGTGGAAGTAATCAGACCCAAAAACCTAATACTACCCTCAAAGTCGAAATGTAGCCGCCCATTATAAAATAATGTGGCTCTTAATTATAAATGTATCAGCACTTAATGTCCCCCCCTCCTGCAAAGTCTTACAAATACATGTTGACCCTGCCAGTGAATCCACCTAATGCAGCTTCCTGTGATGGGGTGGTGACAATGCTGCACTGCTCCTGAATTCAGAGCAGAGTTGTCACCCTCATGTAGGCTGTGTATGCTTGCACTATAGTGGGATGAGAAGTTGCCGGGAGGTATTGTCACTGCTGATTGACAAGCTACAGGCTTGTCAATCAGCAGCAGGTCCCGCCCACTGCTTTCTAGATTGACAGCACTGCTTCTGTTGCTGAACTCTTCCCATTGTGATCTGCAGTGTTTGGGAGGGGGAGCGTGTGAGACACAAATGAAGGAGGATTTGGCTCAGTTAGGGAATGTAAAGGAAGTTTTTGGTTTAATATATGAGGTCTGCGGAGCACATAGTGGCTGGATTTGGAAATTGTTTTGTTTGTCATACAAGAGCCTTTTGTTTTCATTTCATTGAAGCCCGTGCTTTGGTCTTACAGGGCAAAAGAACAGGCGGGGTTTAACCCCGCACACCCCTTCCCAAAACATCCCTTTCCTTCACACTCCCCCATCAGGCGCCTGGAGGCGAAGGGAATACCCTGTACTTCTGGGTATGAAGGACCATGTGACATTGGCTGGGAAGCCGTTTTCCTGGCCAATCAGCATGGAGCTGGCTTCCCGGGCAATCAGGGAGCCGGGTGGCGTGTCATTACCGGTATCGGTACTCGGGACACGGGTACACATCGTCCCACCACGGATCTTCTTCTCATAGAGATTGATACTCTGCGTCCCTAATCTGGACCAAGAATACCGATCAGATGCTTATTGGTTCTGAGTCGGTGGCTGGAAGGTTTGAAGCGGGAGGATGAATATGGCAGCCGACATTCTCAGGAGAGCTCATCAGTGACAGAGTCCATGTTTGTGGTTTATAGTAAGTCCATGCTCCCTGCAGCCTTGTAGGTCAGGCAACCTCAGCAATGTCCTCGTGTATGGCAGGGGGCACAATTTCCTACTAAAATACAGGGACTGATCATGTGATTAGAGAGACCGCCCACTCGGCACTCAATCTTAAAAGGTTTCAGGGAGAGCGCCTGAATAGCAGGCATTGATATCTGATGGGTAGAAGCAAGTACGGTAATGCAGTAAAGTGTATTAGATTCCTCAAAGGTATGTAGATGAAAACTGAAATGTCACCTTAAAGAGCTCCTGTCACCTCGTCGATTAGCAGCTCGCTCACATCATAACGCTGCGCTCAACACAATATCTGTACATTTAGGGCACGCTATTGCACAAGGTGCATGTGGTACCATGTGCTGGTTTGTTGCGCTCCCATTCATTTCAATGGCACCCCAACTCGCCTCCCAGTATCCATGTGTATCAGAACATTGTGGTCACGCACGTTGCACTGCGATGCAATGCGTGACCTCCAGGAGGTGCATTGTGGTGGCATTCAAGTGAATGACAACACACCAGCGCGCCCGTACTGCAAGCTAGGCGACCTGTGCGATAGCGAGCACTAAACGCACGAACGCAGGGGTATGGTGTGAACGGGCCCCTAGTGTAAAGTGAGAGTGTCAGTGTAAAGTCCACCACTCTTGCCTTTCCAACGCTCCCCTGCTACTCCTTACTCTGTGTCCGACACTGCAAAATATCTGGAGCTTTCCGGTATGGGGGAGCCCATGATGGAGTGCTGTGACCTAGTGTCCAAGCACTAGGGCCCAGAACTGACAGAGAGGGATAGGTCATTGCTCCCTCTCGGCTCCTACACCGGGTATAATGGTGGTGAATGTGACAGAGGAGGTAGCATCGGGAGAGGGGGGGAGCACCGGAGGGGTGAGTGGGGGAAGAGACTAAACACTGTCTCTTTTAAATGACGGCATCAGTGCAAGTTAGGCCGCTTCATTCACAATGTGACGAGAGGTGATGTCAATCATTCGTCGTCTCCTAAAAATGATTCCCAATGGTGAACAGAGGCTGTGCGGGATATTGCTCTGTCACACAAGTATGTATAATATTCCATTGTACAATTTTTGTAATAATAAACTATTAAGTTAAAAAAAAAATCTCTCGTGTTTGGATTTATTATATATACAAGTGCTAGAGGGTCTCTTAACACCTTGGTTCTCAGCTGGTGGGTCGCGACCCCGTGTTCAGTGGGTCACCGCGTGCCTGACACTTTTCTAGGCGAGAGGTTCCTCAGCCTCCCCTTAGCACAGCGCTGTCAGTTCTCATGCCAAGCAGCCATTCAAATTATGCTGCCCGGTGTCAAGTGTCAGCTTAAGTTGGGATGGGGCAATGGCCGCGAGGGAGCTCCATCCATACGTGCATTCCTTAAAGCTACCTTACGTGTCCTGTAGAGGTGCCTAGACCGGAGTGACGCCACATTCTGGCTCCCGGGCACCTCTACAGGCCTGCAAGG